ATATATGTACATAAATAAATGTTCAAAAGTGTTCCATTTTTCAAATCAAATTAATGCTTTTTTGTTGCTTACTTTTTGTGCAAAACTTTAATTGCGATGAAAATCTGAAGTTATTGCTTTCTCCTTTAATGCTATTTTTTTCTTTTTTTAGAGCTAACTGCATTTTTACAGTTGTACCGTTAAAGCCCATTCTTTCACATATCATTTGCGTTGACACATATGTATGTATGTACATACTCGAATTTACAGCTATATACTAAAATCAAGTTAAAAAATGCATATTTCGGTGAATCATCATCTGTTTTCTTAAAGAGCGCTCATAAACTTCGGCCAAACATTTCTTTTTTTTTTTTAATTTATTTTACATGCCCGTCACGACATTTACATATTGTATTATATGTTTGTGTGTACTTATGAGTTGTGTTCAAAAAAAAAAATTAGCCGAAATTTCAAATAACGCTTGCTTCGTACACTCGCTTATCGATTTTTTATGTATATATTAGGGTGAACCAAAATTTTGTATTAACCAATTTACTGAGAAAATCAATGTCGCTTCAAGTCTAGAGTTGTACTAAATTTCAAAAGATGTTGGTGAGCAAACAAAGTTTTCCATTTACATAATACTTAAAAAAATATATATTTTTTTATTAAAATTATCATAAAATTTAGAACTTGTCAAGTTACAAATTTTCTGCCCAACGCATTGTTGTAGGTCATAAAATTTTTAATTATATTATCCCAGTAACGGTTTTCTTTTTGAAGTCAATAGAAAAGTGAAAAAATCACGCGCAACTTGCATATATTGATTTTTCAAAACGTCAAATTTTGTACTGAAAATAAAGTTCATGCAAAAAAATGTGCCCTTCAAAACTTAGAATAATTCAATAAAACAATATATGCATAATTTAAATATGAAACTTTGAATTCTTACAGACATCTTTTAATTTGTATTTTTTTAATTGAACAAAAATTCGTGGCTTGCATGGACATTTTTTCTAATTAAGAAGGTTCTTGTATACGAATTACGAAAAATACGAAATTTTTTTAAAAATTATGTCTTTTGTAAAAAGAAACGAGGTGATCGCCAAAACAAAAACAGCTATCATTTCTACCATTTTTCTTTGTTGTACAACAAAATATTCAATTCATACAAGCAAATAAGCCTTCGCTACTCTAATTTATAACAAAACGGAAAAACTATTAAGAAAATCAAACTTATTAAATATATCCAATAGCTAAGCGGAAGGCTCCCACAAAGTGATCTCGTCATAAAAAATTTCTTAGTACGCTTAATCTCGTATAAATACCTTACTTCACATGTTCGGTACCAGTCTAATGTGGTACTACCATACATGCCTACGTAGTGACGTTTGTCGTCAGCGTGCTTACATTTCGCAAGACTTAAGACTTATATAACTTGTGTACATATATACATATGTAATATTGAATGCAAAATTGTAGCTTCAAGTAAATTTCTTTTGATAATTAATTGTGCTAAAATATAAGTTTAGAAAAATGTCACTAACAAAGTATGGGCGACATAGAGCACATAACGTACATAATGCAGCATCTTCTTCAGAGAATAGGAACTGTCATTTCATTTACAGTTTAATGAAAGTGTAATATTTTTCGAAATTAAGATTTGATTTTGGATCAAAAAATCGATTTTTTACGCTAATAATGAAAGCCATACATTTGTAGAGTATACTCGTATGCTTAAAGGGATTTTGCTTCTCGAACACACCCGTCTTACGCACGCAAGGCAAACTTTCAAAAAAACTTTGAACGCGTTTTTCTCGAAACCATGTTTTCCGATCTAACTTCAAGTTCCGGTCTGGATCTTTCCGTCCGATTTCTTTTATCTAAAAACTGTTTCAAAGTATATAGATTATTGTACGTCCTGAACCTAAGATTAGCATTAATAAATAATTATTTATATTTTTTAATGTAATTCGAGTGAAAAAAGTTGCAAAAAAATTTAGCATTATAAAAGCAATGAGCATTATGCAATAGATATATCGCTAAAATTGCTTCAATTGAGGTTCAGGACGTAGACAATTTCATGATCTTCAAGTAATGACAACAATTTTTGATTTCAGTCCACTACCTTGAAATTGTTGGACCATGATCTTCGCGCAGAAACCGACGGAAAGCGCCATTTTTTATCCGTCTTTTTGAATTACGCCCGTTTTTGCTGTTTTAAAATCTTAAATAATAAACAAATTAAATAGTAAAAACGCCTTTTCATTCTCCATTCCACAAAAAAAATGCAAACTTTGCCTGCTTTTTGCCAATATCAGGGGATGGGCGCCTTAATTTCTATCTAATAAAAACAAATGTCAAATTCAAGTAAACATATATTTATATCAAAAATGTTCAACTAACGAAACCATCACGTCAATTTTAAAATGGTTGCTTGCTATGATTTAATAGCTCACTTCAATTTTAACGTTTAACATTAGCCCTACAGGGAAAAATACTAGTTGTCAACCAGAATTCAACTAGTTTACATTTTTACACCAACTAGTTCATCTTCATTCATTTTCCATGTCCTACGAGCTGACAATTGTCTTACAATGCATCAGCTTGATACTAGTTTAATACTAGTTCATTTTGGCATGTTGAATTTCTACTTCACCAAGCAAAAAAAAAATGTAACTCAAATAAATTCAGTTTGCCAGATGCGAGAATCGAGCCAAGACCCTCACGCACTACAGTGAAGACCTCTAACCACCAGACTATCGTTATGATATATGTAGGAAAAAAATCTGCACACTTCAACAGAACTTTTGAGGAAATGAAACTCAGCCATGTCAAACTAAAAACAAAAACAACATACGAATGACGTGGAAGTAAAAAAATGCTGTTTCGCCAAAAATTAAAAAAAAAATACATATTAAAAAACTATGTTTCACCAAATATTAAAAAAATTAAAAATTAAGTTGCCTCTAGCGGAGCTTGAACCTGGTACTTAACGCGCTACAGCGATAACCTCTCGATAACTCGGCTATCATGACGATACAACCAACGATGTCATTTTGCGCACTTCAATAGAACAGAGGGAATTCAGCTGTGGTCTGTCGATATAACAACAACAAACAGTGGTGAAAGTTGTTATTTCTACCATTGCTGGTGGACTTCTCTACAAATAACGAACTGGTATGATTTCATCCTCAACATACTAGTATTTAACTAGATTTTTTGCATACTAGTTGGTTTTCCCCTGCAGGAAGCTGTTAGCGATTAAAATTTGGCTGTTAACGCTATAATATTTATGGCAGCCTTCGTTAAGTGAAATAAAATTCATGTTTATAACTGTTTCAACCGTTATCATTACCATGAAGTCTTGTCACTCCGACTTAACACAGAAAATCCATGTGAAGCTACACATGTTCGCCTAGGATGGTTTAACCACTTAACCACTAATTCAATAGAATATAATTGTTAGGCGACACTTCTTGCATCGAACGCAAGTTTTCTAAGTTGGCATAACTTGACCATAGCAGTAAGCCCATTAAAGCTCTCCTCAAAATGCACACCACAATTTATGTATGAACGTGCTTCAAGCACAATATCAAAACATTTCGCATTGTTTCTTTCATTCTGAATTTAAATTAAGTTATGCGTCATGCGTTTCCTTTTAACACGCATACAAAGTGGTGGTCTTCACCAGCATAGTATATATGTACGTATATATGTACCTACATATATTTAATTCAAATTTAAATTTTTCAATAAAGGTAGAGAAAAGGAAAACTCTTAATTGTAGGCACATTTCTTCACTTCTACTTCTTTAGCAAAATATTTCAAGAAAATGTGAATGTAGGAAAAACTACTACTACTGGCAAGTATATGTATATGTATATATAAAATAATATATAGTGCGACAGTTTGTCTACACGCAAAATAAAATCGTGAGCCTATTTTGACGTGATTCAAGTCTATAATTTTCTTACAGTTAAGCACATACATATTATACTATATACATATACATACATATCTGCGGCCGCTGTGAGTAGCACTGCGTAGCATGCATGCGGAGAGATATGCTGAAAAGTGTTTGTAAATCTAATCGCCCCTCTAACCCTTAAGAACATGAAAATTTAATCAAACAATTCTCAAAGTTAAAATGATCGGACTGTTCTTTTGCATTAATTTTAATAACTAATTGAACTTGTCAAATCTTTTGATGTTATTATTAATAATCATATAAATTTTCTAAATGACGCTGGCAGGGAATGTCAACTCTTCTGAGAATATGCGGGCATAAAATAAAAAGACCCTGATAAAAATGCATCGGCCTTTCTACTTCTTCTTTACTGAAGTACTCATCACATTTTTTTTGGCGTCAATTGGAAATACCAAGTACAGCTAGGTCCTGCTCTATGTGATTTTTCCAACGAAGTGGAAGTCTTCTTCTTTCTCTGATTTCACTGGCGGGTATTGCCTCGTCCAAAATACCTACTGCTGGCAAGAGTGATTCTGCGCTAGATTTGCGACTGACATTGTGATTTGTGTTAGTACTGCTTCCAAGATAGACGAAGTTATCTGCGACTTGAAAGTTACGACTGGCAACAGTGACGTATGAGCGGAGTCTTGAATGACTTGAATTTTTGTTTGAAGGCAGGAGATACTTCATCTCTCCCTCGTGCGCCCCAGACCCATATCTTCTGCTACCTTATACAGTCTGGAGTAAGAGACCGTTCGGAGACTGCTTAAAATAAACTGTAAGTTACTTCATTTGTTGTAAAAGCAGCATAAATTTAAGGAAAAGCTCGGCCTATGAACACTTCACAGTTTTCAGACTGCCGCCTATCTCTTTAATTAATCTTTATTTTTTAAGATAGCGAACAACCAAACTACTTGTATAATATATGAATCAACTATTTTCAGAGTTCGTCGTATTCTATAATATAAAGAATTTATTTATTATTTATTTAAACTCTCCATTTATAATCCTTCAATAATTTAAATTATTTATCCTTCTATGTTGTTTTCAGGCGGAATCGCCATTGTTGCCCACCAGCAACAAAGACGACAGCAAAATAGTGGAAACGAACAATAATAGCAGCAACAGCAGCAACAACAACCACATCAACAATATTATCCCTGTACCTAACCACATATCAGTAAATCAACATATTTACACAGCCGTTGATACCACCTCCAATTCCCCGATCCACCGAAACCACTCGCACCTTCACGATCTCACATACAGTACTCCACTCAGCGTTGCTGTACCCCCTACCGCAATAGAGCACAATCCGACTAACAAAATTTATCTGGAAACACTTGCGCCCCCAGCGTCACCCACTCCCTCCGGACCGAGTATATATGGCACACCGGCCAGCGAGTGCAGACGTCGCAGTTCCACAACATCTTTACAATTATTGGATGGTAATACAGTCACGATAACGACTACAACATCAGCAACGATTGGTGGTAGTGGTCAAAGTGAGGAGAGCATAATAGATCTCGAGGATAACTCCGAGGGCAATACAGATAGCGATAATTATAGCGTAACAAACGATAACACGTATTCCACACCCACCACCACAGCCACACTGTATAGCAATTATAATTGCACACAAACAAGCACACATACGCACCAATACAATTTGTATCCAAAAGACTTCTTCTCCAACCTCGAAGGCGAACGACCGAAAAAAAGTACAAAAATGAAAACGAAAGTTGATGCTGTTGGGCGTATCACTGGCGAATGGGGACGCTGGCAATTGCGTACTGTGTTGTTGATCTTCTTATGTAAAATTCCATCGTCATGGTTTATGGCGTGTATAATTTTCACAGCACCGGCGCCACGACATGGTGAATTCTTTTGTAAGCCACCAAATACGGTAGGTGCACAAAATGATACGTTGTGGATAAAGGTGTCGCATCCGCAGAAAGAGGAAGCCGATGATCAGGAATTTACAATAGACTTTTGTAATATATACCAGGATGCACAAGAGCATGCTCACCATTATTACCGTTATGAGCGACCCGAACTGGAACCGCGGGTATGGGAGGAACCCACTTCGCGTAATGCGAACATTATCCCATGCCAGCAGTTCGAGCATAGGGCCGAGTACCATTCGGTAGTGACGCAATACGATTTAGTATGCTCGCGTGACATTTTGGTGTCGGTAACACAGTTCTTCCACTTGTTTGGCGTCCTCACCGGCGGCATACTGGCGAATCATCTGCTCAAATAGTAAGTAAAAGGATTTTAACAATTTACTATTGCTTCTCAGAGGTGTGTTTCCTAAATAGAGGAAAAACTCATGACCAAATAAATTTGTAGAGACCTAATATTGTAGAAACTCTATTTTGTTCTAAGGATATTGCACTAGACACTTCTTTATTCTCTTGAATCGACATCGATTTTTTCTTAAGTTATCGATACATTGCATTAATTGATTTGACGATAATGTCTGCCGTTGATGATACCAGCAAATGTAACTACATATAGTTTTCTTCTTAAAAGGCGGATCAGCTTAGGAAGGTCCACTTAAATCATACCCCTTAAGCTTTTTATTGTGAAAAATGTTAAAGGCACATGTTTTTGAGTCTTCTGAAGTTAAGTTTATGCAGGTTTCACAGTAATATGCCCCAGTATAAATGCCTCAATTGGATACCCTTCACACAGACTAGAACTAAGGACATCGTGGAAAAATGGTTGCCTAATTTAAATATAATTTTTAGTTTAGCTTAGTTAGGTAATTAAATATTATCTTTTAATCTTAACGGCGGAGGCATTTTATAAAATATTTTCAGTTGCTCGATCCGTCTCCAATGTCGTTGCGACTGATATATATGGCTGGTATATTGCCAGCAATGTTTCCATGGTTCCCCTCTTCCTTTTTAGTTGGTACATCTTCCTTCAAGGAATGGCGCGACATTACTTATTCGCTTGAAATCACATAAGCGGCGCTCATGCCAATGAAGAAGAAGAAGATATTTATATATGTGAGTGATAATTATCTTTTACATATATACGAGAATATATTTATTATTGGCACTTTGTGACCACTGAAGCAATTTTCCACCAAACATCTTATCCAATTTGTGGTGAGTTTTACCAAAAAATTGAGAGGCCTACAGCTTATACTAAGCTCCCCTCTGAACGGCCGGGAGTTTTTATGAGGACCTTTTATTTCTTGACAGAAATTCACACGGACGTCTTTTCATTTCCCTCCGAATGGCGACCGCAAATTGAAAATTCAGTTTCTATAATTTAGGATGTTGGTCGAATCAAGCCTCGAACAAATAAAGTATGCATTTAACAGTTCTTCAAAATAGATTACCGAAAATTCTTAAACTTATCATATCCTTCCGACTAATATCTAATAAAACCCAAAGCACGAAATAATAATTATTAAACAATACTTATTTACTACTTACCGATGTACGAATGAATATTTATACGAGATGTGTTCAAAAAATATCGCGAATTTTGAATTTTCGCGGGTTACGTATAATCGAATTTCGATATTTTTGTGGCGTTATGTTGGTACTCATGTCTGTCACTTATGCCGACAATTCGGCCATTTTGAATGTTCACTTAATTGTTGACAGCTGCTTTGCTGGTACGTGTTTTGGATGGTCTTCGATTTTTACCTATTCAAAAAATGGATCAAAGAGCCTGAATCAAATTTTGTGTGAAAAACGAAATTAAGTGCGCAGATGCATTCCGAATGTTGACTGTGGCATGCGGAGAAGCTACCTTGGACCGAAGCAACGTTTATCGGTGGTACAAAATGTTCTCAGAAGGCCGAGAAGTTGTGAACGACGAAGAGCGTGCCGGATGCCCGAGCGCTTCAACAACAGACGAAAAAATGAATGAAGTGGAGAAAATGGTATTGCCACAGGGTAGAATGGTCAATAAGGAATATTACTTGCAAGTTATGCGCAATTTGCGCGAAGCAATCCGCCAGAAACGCCCGGATTTGTGGAAGAACAAAAATTGGCTTTTGCACCACGTTAACGCCCCTGCTCACACATCGTTGCTTGTGCCCGACTTTTTGGCCAAAAACAACACACTAATGATGCCGCAGCGACCGTATTCCCCAGATCAGGCCCCCTGTGACTTTTTCTTGTTCCCTAAACTGAAGAGGTCCATGAAAGGACGCTACGATTAACGAGATAAAGACGACATCGAAGGAGGAGCTGAACAAGATAAAAAAAAATGATTTTTTTGAAGTTGGCACAAGTGTATAATATCTCATAAGGATTACTTTGAAGGGAAAATGGATATTCATGAATAAATAAATAATTTTTGTAAAAACACAAAATTCGCGATATTTTTTGAACATACCTCGTACACTAAGATGGTCGAAAACAGCCTGAATAGAAAGAAAAATCAGTGAACCAGCATGTTCTTTAACGCATGCACCGAATGTTCGTTATCGAGAACATCGCGCAGAGATTATTAGGTATATATGGGAGCACTCGGCAAGTATGTAATAGCAAATGTCAATATCGAAGCATATCAGTTTGATAAAGAGCATTTAACTGACAAAAGTTAGTGAACTGTTTACAAAGAGTTTTTATTTACAGTGGCCGATTTACAACAATACGCCATTCGTTTATTCTTTTTGCTGTTTGGCACCAATTGAAAATACCAAGTACAGCCAGGCCCTTCCCTACTTGGTCTTTCAACGGAGTGGAGGTATTCCTCTTCCTATGCTTCCGGTGACGGGTACTGCATCGGAAACTTTCAAAGTTGGAGTATTCACATCCATACTGATCACATGGCCTAGCCAGCGTAGCCGCTGCTTCTTGATTGGCGGAACTATATCAATGTCGCCGTATAACTCGTACAGCTCATCGTTCCATCGTCTGCGATATTCGCCGTTGCCAATGCGGAAAGGACAATAAATCTTACGCAAAACCTTTCTCTCGAAAACTCCTAACGCCGTCTCATCAGATGCTGTCATCGTCCATGCTTCCGAACCCTATAGTAGGACGGGAACGATGAGGGATTTGTAGATTTTGGTTTTCGTTCGTCGGGAGAGGACTTTACTTTTCAATTGCCTACTCGGTTCAAAGTAGCTCCTGTTGGCAAGTGTGATTCTGCGCTGGATTTTTATTGGTTGTTAATGCGGGTTCCTAGATAGACGAAATTATCTACGACTTCAAAGTTATGACTGTCAACAGTGACATGGGAGCCAAGTCGTGAATGCGATGACGATGATGATGATGATGCTTATTGGAGACGCATTTAGGGAGCTCCTACAGGGTAACAGTGAGCTCAGAATACGAAATGGTAGCAAAATTTACTGAAAAGTAAATATTAATACCTAGGTAAATTTTGTTACCTTGACAGAATAGGCCTGTAAGAGTAACAGTGAGAATAGACCGTTATAAAATAACCTAAATACCTTTTTGTTTTGTTTCATTGCCACGAATGACAACTTCAATTAGAAACAAACTCGATGAGCAGACGACAGGGTAACTCGAGTGCTCGGAAAAGCTCAAGGGATTTTTACAGAGACTAGATTTCTACCCAATAAAGAAATGGTTAAAAATTTGAATTGAATTACAAAGTTGTAATAACAAGAGATTTGTTGCGCAGCTACATATATACTTGATGATACATACTCGTACATATGCATTCATACTAGTTATATAATTTATTATTTATTCTCGATGTTAGTGCACTGATGTACATGAATCTTTCATTTCTCTCCACAGTTTCAGTCCACGAAATGTGATGCTCTTCGGCATGGTGACACAAATCTTCTGCGGTAATCTCACCGGGCTCGTGGTCTCATATGAATTGCATGTCTTCTTCCGCTGTTTATCTGCTGTATGTTGTGCTCAAATGTATACAGCTGGCAGCGTAATAAGTAAGTTATTAAAACTTTATTTAATTAAATCGAAGTGAAGCTGATCTCTCTCTTTTTTATGTTTAAGTGGGCGATATAACAGGCGGCGTGTATAAGACTTGTGTTTCCACTCTCTTCGAACAATTTTGGTCAATTGGTGTTATACTTTTACCCGGATTGGCGAGCTTCTTCTCCAGCTGGTCCCATCTCTATATGGCCATCTCTTGGCCGACTGTGATACTTATATATTTATGGCGGTAAGTTGTACTGTAAGATCACGCAATTGCGGCTAATCGAAAACTACTTATTATGTATCATAATATATGTATGTATATTTTTACACAATTCTTTTCAGTTGGATTCCCGATTCACCTCGTTGGATGATTCAACGTGGACGAGTATTAGATGCCAAAAATATTCTTTTACAATGTGTTGATTTGAATGGCACGCGGTATGGTCTTCCACACGACATCGATCAGCAGTTGCAATTGCAGGCACAAACTGCTATGGACGCGCCACCACCACCGGGTTGGTGGTCCATATGGAAGGGCCATAATGTGGTGCGTAATTTGATATGTGTGCACTTAGCGTGGTCAGTTTATATTGTGGTTTACTACGGTATGTTGTTGAACATACGTTCATTCAGTCGCGAGCACCTCGAAGTGAACACAGCAGTGGCAGGACTCTGTGAAATTATCGGCACATTTATTGGTCTCTTTCTGATACTTAAGACAACACGTAAATGGCTGTGGACGGGGCTGTTCAATGTAGTTACCGGTTTAATTGCATACCTTGGTTGGCTGGTCCCGGACGATTGTAAGTTACTTCATGAATAATCACAAACCAGAGAAAAAAATGAAATCTTTAAAATTATAACTTCTCTTCTCTCCCAGTATCATTTAATACACGCGTTGCTCTACTTATGTTCACAGCAATGGTTTCGAAAGTGTCCATATCCACCACACTCTCCATACTCACCACCTGCACCGTAGAGCTGGTTAGTGAGGATAAGAAAAAGATTACCGCCTTCTCCGCGATATGTTGGGCCAGATTCTGGTTATTGGGCGCGCCATTCATTGGCGCCACTGTGATCTTTGGCATAATGGTGCCGCAGACTGCGTTTGCGTCACTAGCAATTCTTGGGGGTGTTTTAACCTCCTTTATAACTAGTCCCCGTACGATAAGTAAAGAAGCCCTTGGCAACAACAACAGAGCCACCGCTACGCAAGTGGATGGCATCGATAATAAAAGCTTTACAACGGGTCCGACAGTTAACCATCCCATCTTTACTAGTATTACGAAATTGGCAACGCCCAACTCCAATCTACCACCACAAATGGTGCCCGGTGTTTGGACAACGAAACAGCATGAAGACAGCCCTCCTGTATAAGTTGGCGTGGGTGATAAGACTGACCGGATATAGAAGTACGGTTGCTGATCGGCGGCATCATTTTTAAAATTATTTCGTCTATAAATGTTGTTAATTCGTAAATTAATTCGTCTATAAAAGTTGTTATTGCTGTGAATAGAATTGTAATGTGGGATGTACAGGGGCTGTTTTTTCTTTCTCTCACATGAAATTATGTTGCCCAAGCGTATTTAAGATATTAAAAGTGATAAAGAATACAATTACACATATACTAATTACATACATTTGTTGCTAATTGTTGCAAACGGACGAAATTTTTTAATTTTTCTAGTATTCCTTGTTACAATTCTATTCACACATTATTTTATTTGTTGAATAGTTTCACCGAAAAAGTCATATTTTTAATTAATTACGTAATTGTTTATGTGCTTAAAGGCCAATGGCGTAAGCTATAAGCAAAATTTGCAAATTTGTACATACAAATATGTATAAACAAAAATACAAGGTTTTCCAAATAAGAGTTGTTACTTTGATATTCATAGAAAAATGGCATGGTCGGAGAATTATTTCAATGTTAAGATTAAATTGTGCCATTAATAATGGAAAACAATGTCAGACAAATGACCGCCACAGCTACGGTTACAAGACCGTATCACTTTTATCATATTTTCCAACATCAAATCGCAAAGTGGCTGCTGTATGTCCTCAATAGCTTAACGAATTCCATCTTTGAGGTCTTGAATCGACATTGGCTTGTTAGCGTATATCTTATCCTTCACGTGGCCCCCCAAGGAAGAAGTCACAATGTTTTAAAATCACAAAAACTCGGCACCAATTGCGATCACCTCTCGATAAATAGGACAGTGCGGAAACTCTTCTCTCAAATCATCGACGATTTCGTTGCTTTCATGGCACGTTGCGTCGTCTTGTTGAAAGTAAACTTTAAGAATAAAGAATCATTAATAATCTCTCATTTTTACCCGTTGAGGAGGGAAAAACTTTTCAACAATCTTGAGTCTTTCGAGTCCCAGATGCGAAAGTTTTGCTTATTGAGGTAGCCATCGAGGTGGAAACGGGCCTCATCTGTCAAAATGATATTTCAATGAAATCTCATATCATTATCATGCTTTTCAAGGACCTAATCAGCAAAGACACGGCGTTGTTGATCATTGGCTGGCTTGAATTCTTGTGTTAAGTAAACTTTATAAGCCTTAAGACCCAAGTCTTTATTGCAAAATACGGTGTAATGACGTTTGTGGAAAGTTGAATTCCAGAAAACCACGAGGAATGGACAAGGCTGGGTTTTTTTTCCATACTTTGGTATACAGTAGCAGTTGTTCTTGAGCAACGTGCAAGTGTTTAAATCTTCACATCACTAAATTGTGCTGACAGCTACATTTGTTCCATCAATTTCTTTATTGCGGTTCGCTAAGGCGCTTTATGACGACTGGGAATTGTTTTAGTTTTACGAATCGACTCTGCCAAGCTTTCACCATTTTTATAGTAAATTTTAATGATTTCAATACGTTTTTGAGGCGTGTATCGTTCCATTTTTATTAGTGGCGTAGTTTGTACTTGTCAAATGTCATAAAATTCATAAAATTACAGTTTCAAAAGTGACATCCAGCGGAATGGCAGGATATTCTAAATAACATCTCTTATTGGAAAACCCTTTATATGCGATTTGTTCTATAAATGTTAAGAAAAACGATCTTTTAGTAAAATCTCATTTCCACATTCGCATAAGAATATATTTGCAAACGTGAAAGTTTTATGTATCAAATATATATGTATATATTTTCTTTATTATAAATTTCATATGCTCCTTTTAATGAATCAATTTTTGGTAATTAAAAGTTTACTTTTTATTTTAATACTTAAATTCCACCTTTCATAGGAAGCTTCAAATAATGATAAAAAAGGACTATTTTTTTGAACTAGAAACTGTTATTCTAAACAAAGTTTAGGGTATTCTAATAGAACAAACTTTCCTCCAAGTGTTTTTAAATAAAATACTTTAAAAAATACCAACAAATTTGCTGCTTCAGGAAACAATTTATTCAAAACAGTAACTAATGCTACAAGATAAATCTAGAAACAAGCCTTAAAACACAATTGAATATCAAATTGTATATGCATAAAATATTTACAGCTCGCAAAAATATATTTATATAAAAATAGAAAATAATATTACAAAATGTATAACTACTGTAAGAGACCAACAAAATACAAATGAGCTTATTTTTCGAGGATTTATTTATGCACATATCGTATGTATGTAGGTGAATATAACGTAAATATGGTATTTTTATTGAAACTGAAAATAGTCGTAGAGTAACTAGAGTAGAGCAGCTCAATTTAGGGCATAATAAGAAACAACAATAGAGCGACTCGGAGCAGTGTCGAAAAACAATTGTCAAATGCGAATGTCACTCATGTTTATATTGTTGGCTATGTCCCGTGCCATAAACGGTCCTCTTTTGCTTTCTAATCGCATCTGTCAAAAATATCTTATTGCTTGCTCTGGTCACTCTACCAAGAAAGTTAGAGCTGAAAATCGCGCTTTAAGTTGCTGTATTTCTGTTAAGAGCAGACTCATAAAACAAAAAGTAGAGCAAAAAAATTTGAAAAACAATTTTAATTTTCTCATTTATTATCGGTAATAAATCCGTCAAAAAAGTATTAAAGAGCTTGAAAAATGGCATTATACAATACTCGTATACATGTACATAGAGCCCTATACAATGACTCCTCCACCACCATGTTTTATAGTCGCAGAAAGGTTTTCTCTTTTGAAGTTCAGTGCTACGCTTTCTCCACACAGTTTGACGGCCATAGAATTGATAGATATTGAATTTACTTTCATCCGAGAAGAGAACAATGTCTTAAAAATGCTTAGGTATTCCTTAGCAAAGGCTAAACGTTTCTTTTGGTTTTGGTTTTTGAAATTAGTGGTTGCCGTCTAGCTACACGAGAATGAAAGTAAGTTCGTGCAATACTCTCCGAACCGTTATCGGATGAATATCTTTTCCCAACTCTTCCTTAAACTTCCGCTGCGATTTGTGGGGAAGATAGTCTTGGGTTCCTTTTTACCTTTCTCACGATTTGGCAGCTTTCGCGGTCATTTAAAGCCTTAACCCCGTCTGTACGTGCTGCGTTTTGTAAAGATGAAAGCCCCTCAAATCGTTTCACAGTGCTTATTATGGTGTAGCAACTTCTTTCCATCATTTCCCCAATTTCTGCATATGAGTTGCCCTGTTTAAGCAAATATAAAATTATTTTCCGCTGAGATACGTTAGTTTTTCTGAATATTACGCAAAGTCCACTATAGTTGAAAGCACTATGATGTTTGCAGTTTGATTTTTGAAAAAAAAAAAAAACGCAATGCTTAAGTAGACGTAACGGGACTTTTGAAAAGAAGTTGCACGAACAATCAAACTTAAGCGAAATAGCACCCTGTAATTTAAGTGAGCCAATACTTTTATTTCATGAAAATTTTTTCATTTATAATTAATATTAATTTAACATAAAAGATAATAAAATTAATCGAAGTGAAAATAGTTGCAAATATGTCCTCCTGTCCAGCATTTTTTCTTTCGGAATTAAAAATATTTTCATAAGTGGTCAAAAAAAGGTGTTAAAGTTGAACTATCTTGCTGTGCCAATACTTTTATTCATCACTGTAGATAAATTCAAATAAATGTTTACACAGTAAATCACCAGAATTGAAAGACCATATAGCCTACAAACGATTTTTGAGATATGGGGTCTCTTAAAAAATAATTTAATATTTTAATTTAATTCATTAATAAATGCATCACCATGTAACTCTTACCACAAATACGTTATAGCTGGGGAGAGGAGCTCCAAATAAAATAATTGTGTTGCGCTCTTCACTTGGCATTTGCCAAGATATAATGAACTTTGTTTCTCCGATAGTAATTGAAAAAAATTCACTCTCACCATTTGCTCGTTGGTAGAATGGTATTCATGAAGGTTGGCATAGGCTTCTTCGCAATCGATAGCCCCAATATTTCCTCCATCAAATGGCAACGTAATGGGAAATCTAACCTTCGCAGGAGACATTAAACGGTTGACTGCTTCTATCACGCGATGAATATAACGGCTTACTGGCGACTGACTTCTGGGTATTCCTTATTGTTCTCCGACGGAACGTGGGTAGCATTCAGTTGCAAAGAGTCGCAAGGCGGCTAGAACCTTTAAACATTTTAATAGTGTAAAAACTGAAAAAATATTTAAAAGCTATAGTACAACCTGTTCCTCCGTAGACAATGCTGTTATTTTCTGCCTTTTAGGTGGCTATCAAAATACGCAGTTGCGATCTTCAACTTCCCGAAGCCAACTTCTAACCAATGCTGAAGCGTACAATACCTCCTCATCTTGGGATAAAATGTATGCTTAATGTACAACCTAAAAATATTCCTCGCTTAGTTAGCGATTTTTCGATTAGTTTACGACAACAGCGAGAACGAATATCGTTAAAATAAGTACACCGAATATTAAAATCGTTAGAATTATCGCCTTTTTGCGATCCGAAAATCGTTATACTGTGCTTAGACAGTAGCGAAATCGTTAAAATTATCGTTAAACTGATAATTTTTCCTGTTTCTTAATACCAAATTTGAACGTTTATAATTTTTAAACTAAAAAAGTTCGAAAATACGTTAACAAGGTATTAATTTTTCAGTTGGCAAATATCTTCTCTATAGACCAATTTGTACAGACACCAATTAAACAATTTTCAAAACTTGTACTCTAGATTGCTCCACTTTGGGTGGTCATACCTCTGGAACGCGTTGTCCGATTTTATCGCGATAAATCTTTTCTGAAGGCCTAATGCAACCAAATTTGTTCTCAAATGTCCGTGTTACGAGACTTTTCTCCCATCGCGCGACGTTCCTACGAACGTCTGAAATGCAGGTGATCTTTGCTTCGTTCAAGTGATGTCTTTATTTGTAGAATAATTTATATACATATTTGTTCAAACTTAAATTCACCTACATACATACGTAGGTATGTAGCAAAATGTACCACAAACTCAACGACATATGTACTATGTAATTATAGCACTAATTAAATCAATAATAAATCACCGACTTAAAAAAAGTACAAATATTAAGTAGCAAAACTGTATATTTGAGAATTAAAATAAAAAATAAAAAACAAACTCACTCAATGTTTGAGAAAAACAAAGTACATATGCATGTGTATGTACATCTACGAATGTATGTATATCTGGAAATGTTCCTACTCATATTAAGCATACCGTGTAATAATCAAAAATGATATACATATGTACATATATGTACATAAATGGGAAATTTTCGAAAAATCATTTTTGGTTATGGTAAAAATATCAAAAAATAAATATCAAAAAAGAACACTTACAAATGCAAGATTATAGCTCTGTTCGGTGAGAAATGTCAGAAACGAAATGTCAAAATTGTGCCGACTCACTATAAATTTTGCTGACTTTTTGCCTCACCGTACGCAGTTCAGTAAAATTCAGCAACAATTATTACTGCCCAGTAGCTCGCCGAACACACCGAATTAAAGTTTCCATTTGTATAGCCACATTTTCAGGCATATTCTCACTGTTACCGGCAAATGAAATTTTGTTACTTTTTTTTAATGCCCGAAATTGAATCTGGTATTCTGGCGAACTGGTTACAATGTTTGATAAAAATTTGGCAGCACTGCTTTTTTCGTCCATGTCAAATTACATTTGCCAGTTGATAAAGTAAAAAGAAAAATATTCACATCGAAATGGAAGACGGTGCACTTCAAAATAAATAAGTTTTATTTATTTGTTTACTAAATCATAAATATTTGAACCTAATTTTGGAAATTATGCCTTAACGACAAAAGAAAAGCTGAATGAACCGTTATCTTAAAAATTAAAGGGCTATTTTGAGTCTCGAAAACTTCTTAAAAAAAACGGTTTTTGCACTTTTTTCTTCAACTTCAATGAATTCCAGTCCTAAAATATGTCTACCCATTTTGGTTTTTTATTTTTTCTCAGACTTATAACACAAAATCAAACAGTGGATTTTTTGTTATCTCCTATTCCGCTGGTAACAAAACTTACAGGGTAACAGTGAGCACAGAATACGAAATGGTAACAAAATTTACTGAATTGTAAATTTTAATACCCAGGTAAATTTTATTACCTCGACAGAATAGGCTGTCTACACGCCTTTATAGCTAGAAACCGAAACTAATGGTTTTAAAGTTTTGATAACCGGTTTTTTAATACCAGTTAATGGGGTTTTCCTTACACTCACTAGATTTTTAAATTAAACTGAAACTTAAACTGAAATGTTCAGCGTTAAAATTTGAGCATGTATATAATCTTACAAATGAAGGTGTATTTTTAGCGAACAAAAACTGAAATTAAAAAAAAGCGGCCAATGGAAATTTTTTGAAAAGTTGGAAATTCTTAAAATATGCTACCCATGCACAAAATTAATTAAGCTCAAAAATAGTCACAACATTTA